TTACATGTTAGTGACTCGGAGTGTAGATCTAGTCATTACGCTGAACACCCTGATGGAAAACAAAAGATGTTGTCTTTTTGCAGCGAGGGCGTATGGACTTCAGTCCTGACTATACTCAATGCATCGTATAGGTCCCAGAGCAAGAGTCCTTAGACTAAAAAGAGCTTCTCATTTGCTTGCAATATCGAATGCTATATAAACCACATGATTGTTGGATTGCAGTTTGTTGTTTGTTTTGGATGCTTTTGTTGGCTGCCGTAGCAACTGGCCGTGGACAAGTGTTGGCCCAGGATTGATTTTTTGGATGCTTCTCAGCGGGCAGTGTACCAAACAAAACTTCAAGAGCTAGCAAAGCGCGGCTTCCACCTGCGCTCGCTCTTGCCACTCGTCTTGCTTGTGGAGGGAAGCGTGCTTGGATGACGCCCACTTGGCAACCAGACACATGAAGCTGTATTGGCCCAAGGCAAGCCTTTATATACAATATATATATATATATGAGAGCGGGTGGTCATGGGGCCTGGGTTTTGGTTTTCCCAAAATTTTAGGTAAATGCTTCAGTGGCAGCCCCTCTCCATATAAACACACATATAATCTATTCCTGCTCTGTCTATATGAACAAATATATTATGTATTCCTGAGTCAGGGTCATGTTATTGTTTTGGAAGCAGCAATCAGTCATTCAGATGGTTTTGAACTAGACAATTAGGAACGAAGCAGGGCATAAAAGTGTTTATTTTAACAATTGTCCTCTAGATCTCTGCTTATAATTATGTTTAGATTTGGAAAGATTGTATATAGACGCTTTTATGTTACAAAAGATTCTCTATAGATCTCTGCAGATAATATGTTTTGATGTTATCACTATATATAGAAGCTTTCTTCTAGATTTCTGCGAGTAGATATTCCATATATGTGTGTTTTCATGCAAGGAAAGCTCTTGAAAGAAGAACTTTTTATTGATATATAGCATGTCTAAATTGACATGACCATTTCCAGAGATCTAGAGGAAAGCTTTTGAAATGCAAGCTTTTATATATTTTTATTGTAGAAATGATCATCCCCAGAGATCTAGAGGGAAGCTCTTGAATTAGAAGCGTGCACATAAAACATTTTTAATATGTCTATATTATATCCAGTGATTACTGTAAATAAATATATCTAACTGTTTACTCCAAAAAATAGTTTTAGTCTTGTTCCCAGCACTCCCAGGGCAAAAATTACTGTAAAAACACAGGGTTTTGTAGCATGTGTTTTCTTAAACAAAATAGACTAGAGCTAGAATAGAATTAGGTAGAATTAAGTTGGATTTGAGTTAGAGCGAAGATAGAACTGAATTAAAACCGAATTTCAACTAAATTTGTATTGAACTATAACTATAACCTATTTGAAATTAGATAAGAGTTGAATTAGAAAGGAATTGGAATTAAAATTAGAAGTTCGCCAGAATAAGATGCAAAACGCTTGAGCTACAAGATGCACAAGTCGAGGAGGCTGTGAAATTACAAAGCCGAAGCAAATGCAACAAGCCTTGAATTAGAACTACAGCTTACACAGATTCATAACAGTTTCATGTAAATTGGAAGGTGTCACTACAGTTTCATGTCAAGCTGATTGGACATGCAATTGGCAATCACATTGATACCAATCAGAAGTTAATGCACAGACTTGTACATGGAGATTTCGACAAGGACAAAGGGTTGGGCTCAGACGCATTCATTGTAAGAGCAAAGAACATATGCCTTTAGAACTTTAGGTGAGACTTAGGCTCACATGCTTGAAGGTTGAACCAAATAGTAATAACACAGATTCACATATATAAATAGGAAGTCCCACGAGCTTCTGGCAATTGACCTGGCCCAGGGCTTCGGCGAAGGTAAGGGCGCCGTCTTGTCCGCCGAGATCACGATTGAACCCACCACTGCGGCCCAATTCCAGATCAGCCATGTGGACACAGAGGAAAAGCCAAGAAGACACAAAGATGACGAAGATGTAAAAAGCTTGAGCGACAAGATGCGTCAATCGAGGAGACTTTGAAATTAACAGCAGAAGCAACATCAACAAGCAAAAAAATACGCTTGCAAAGATTTCCAACCGTTTCATGTAAAGGACAGAGTGTCCTCGCAACTGCATGTCAAGAAATGCAAATGGCAACCGCATTGATACCTGTCAGCAGTTAATGCACTCAGACTTGTATATGGAGATGTGGACAAGGACACAGGAAGTGTTGAGCTCAGACGATTTCAGATGTAAGCAAAAAGAACAGATGCCTTGAGATGAGAAGTAAGCTCAGATGCTAAAACACAAAAACCTTGGGAAAACCAAAAAACAAAAAACAATTCTCAGAAACTCTTGGCTGGACCCTCCAAAATCAGAAAATACAAAAACAAAAAACACGTTGAGAAAAAAACAAAAAACAAAAAAACACAATTCTGGGGAAGTCTTGAGGACAAGAGGGTCCAGACAAGAGTCTTTGAAAATTGTGTTTTCTCAAGTTTTTTTTTGTAATGTTGAGGGGTCTAGACAAGAGTCTCTGGGAATTGTTTCTTTTGTGTTTTTCTTCTAATTTTGGGTTTTCTCATGTGTTTTTGATCCTTTATGCATATTTATGAGTGTTTTTTAGTCATGACTGTGGCACCAATGCAATTATCTGAAGCATTTACCTAAAATTCATGGAAAACCCAGGCCCCATGACCACCCCTTCATAGTCTCGATCTGAACTGCACTGTTCCTAGTGCATGCATGGCCGGCAGCCAACCGATAGTAGGTTGACATTGACATCCCTCGCAATGGACGATTATACAGTGGGGGATCAACCAGAGTTGGTGTGGTTGTGACCCATAGCTCCTGGCCATATGCATATTATTCGGAATGAGTAATTAGACCTTCGTATCCATAAGCAGAAATAGCCTGGAACTGACCAAGAAACCATGTTGATCCTCGATCATTATCAATTAACATAAATTAATATCAGCCCTGATTAAAGTTCTGTGGGAGATGAATGGACTTCGAAATGCACCAGCGACCATGGTATGGGTTGCGAATTTTCACAATCTTGCCTTGGCCCCAGGAACTTTTGGGAAGAGTTGCTGGATGGTCATTTGATGCCCAGTTTTGACCCAAGACGATCACAGACCAACGACGTGGTGCGACAGGCCATTATCCCCTCATCTCGCGTGGGACGTGGCGGGCGGGCGTTGGTGGATATTTGGGAGAAGGAACCAGTGCTGCCAGACTCTTCGCATCAAAGTGATTGTTGTCGTGAGGTTTTTGATTTTTACAGTGGTTTCCACTTCGCACATGTCTTTAAGACGGAGAATCCATTGATTCATATTGCTATATTTACCACCCTTTGGGGATTGTGCCATCTACTCTCCATCCACTATATTTGGCAGGCCATAGAATCAACCAACTGGGGACATGCACTGATGGCATTGCTGCCAATTGCTTGGCACATCTTGGGCGGCTCAGGATAACATGGTGACACACCACTGGACTAACAGCTTCGCCAACCTGGTGGCAGCGATGCTGGCGGCTTCTTGACCTCGACTCAACCCAACCAAGCCCCTCCAAACCAGTGCCAAACAAACCTGGACCATCGCACTGTCTCAAACCACTGGATTTGTTCAACAGAATTGGCCTTTCTAGTTGCATGTAAAATAGAATATAATATATAATTACACACATTTATATAATACATACACATAATTGCTCCAAATGTTCACCCATCCCTTCGTCTCAGTCTCGAGACACCTGGTTCCCCTTCTCAGGACGCCTTGCAAGAGCCCACCTACGCCCCTTTGGCCGAGAAGCTTTGCAGCCGCAGTGGATGCCATGCTCTACGGCGGAGGTTAGAAGAGACCAATCGCATCGATGCGACCTACTGGGTTTGCGCCGTCTCGGTGAACCAGCATGCCAGCATTTGTGGCTACGAATGTATCGGAGAGGGGGGTGAGCGGTCATTCTTGTTTGTTCTCAGGGGGTGGGCGGTGGGCGGACCTTTTATTGGGGCATGGCATAGGGGGATGAGGGTTCGGTGATGGCTATGCTGCTATGCTTAGGGTCAGCGAGGAAGGGGGGTGCGATGCGAGGTGATTTGTTGAAAGAGACCGGTGGAATTACCGGACACCCACGCCGTGAAGCTAACAAATCTGGTGCACTTGAAGTTGGACACCGCCAGGTTTGGTTTGGAGGTGCGTGAGCTGAGTTATTTCGCAAGGTTTGGGTCCTTGGGTCGTTGGGTCTTGTCGAACAAGGCGGTGGCTATGGCCCAGAACCTCCTGAAGGCACTCCCCAATGGACACTTTGGGATGAAAAGAGGCCGGCCGCTCGGCCGCTCGTCGACAGGCCGAAGATCTCAAAGTTTGAGTGAAACCTTTGTCCCCTCGAAACTCCCAGGCATTTACTATCTGGAACCCTACACTCAACCACCAGAGGTTCCAGCAAATCCTTAAGAACCATGTTAAGGTGGTTGCCACACGTAGGCTCAAAATGCGACAGCTTTTCCAGTGTTGATGCTTGACGGAGGAAACGCATCTAAGAAAAAATCCAAAAGCATGACCCAAACACCATCCCAGTGCCAAAGCCGACCGGAAGGCATGACTCGGTGACGCAGCAGCGCTTCCGGCTGTGCAACTGTGAAGAGCCCAAGCGGCTTTCGCATCGCGATGCGACATGTGAACTCAATAAGTTTCTTAAGATCAGTTGAGGATGTGGAGCTGGGTACAAACATGGAAGTCTTCTGAGACTCTAAAGACTTGCAACAAACATTAAACATCATAGATCCGACGAACCGACAAAAGAGGAAGCCAATTGGAGGGCCTCCCCATGGATCAAATTGCGGTATCAGTTTTAAATCAATGTCATTCTGTGTGGCTGATTTGGTCCTTGGACTGCCATTGGCCTGCCATTGGGAACAACTGCAAAAAGCATCAAAAAGCAACGTTTTTGTCCGTCTATACCCGAGCACGCTTCTTTGTTGTACTTTGCTGTTTGCTTATGAGGTTCGATGATATGATCCGCTTCTTGTCCCAGAGAGTCACCACCTTCGAGCATTTGCTTGTGGTCGACCAGCACTTCGACGTCTTGTACAGAGCCTGGTGTGTCGCGGAAATCGTGGAAGGTAATGCACTGGGCATTCCAGCAAAGATTAAGGTGTACTCGCAGAATGCTGTGGATTGCAACTATGACCGTCTATCTTTGCTGGACGTTCGGCAGTGCTCCGCCAGTTCGCAGGAAGACAAAGACTTCATCTTGCAGAAGATCGGGAACATACAGGCTTTTAATTTGAAGTTGCAACAGCTGGTCTTCAGTTCTGAAGGCGGTGGCTTGCAAAACGCATTTTTTGGGGGGTCTCATACTCGATTTGTTCAATTTCAATGGCCAGAATCAATATTAACAACTCCATTTTTCCCAAGCTCCGAGGTGTCCTGCCCTTCAAGTCCCTTTCCGAAACCTCCCCTGTCTCGAGGCCTTTTCTCTGACTGGGTGGATGGCAAGGAGCGCTCACGCCTGGTGGGCCGCATTTGGCGCCGTTCGGCCTGCCACAGTCGCTTCCTCCGCGGTCACAGCTGCTCCTCCTCAGAGGAGGACCTCCCCTCTGACAGCTCGGGCGTTTCGACGTCGGAGGCGTCGGAGAGCTCCGAGCTGTCGGAGAGTGGCCAGTGACGAAAAAAGCAAAGAAGTCGGGGTGGGGGTGGGGAGTGAATGGGAGTGAGGAGGTGATGGGCTTTTGTTTGCTATTCTGGAGATTCTGAAGAGGTCGTTTGCACGGAACTTTGACATAGTCTGCAGTGTGGTTAGAGCATGTTTTTAAAGTTTTTTT